CACAGAGACCACGAAGAAGATAGACAGGTTGCTTACCTGTAACTGGTGATCTTCGAGTGGTCATCTGTGCATTCACACCACCCGCCCTCCTTCCCCTCTGCTCTCGGCCCTTCATCTTGTTTCTTTGAAGGCTGTTGGGCGGCGGTCAGAAGGAACTGGCGGGATCTGCGTGCCCCTCCTTGGTCATGCGCAGTGGAGCCGGCGCGTGACCTGGGAGAGGCGCGAAAATCCCTTTTGCTAGCTACCGGTACCGAGAAGGTTCAGCGCAGGCGCAGTATTCCCAAGGGTGTGATGCAAGGGTGTGAATGCACAGATGACCACTCGAAGATCACCAGTTACAGGTAAGCAACCTGTCTTTATCAGTTCCTTCCCCTCCTCAAGGTCACACTGACTGCGTAGCAATCACCAGACTTCTCATGCTGTTAGCACACAAATACCTTTGGGTTCCCAATCTCCAGGCAGGAGAATCCATCTGCACTGCCCTGCAAGTTAATACAATAAAACTGTTGTCTGTGTGACTAGTCTGTTATCTGTGTTCATGGAACTTTTCTTAAAATAATGTCACAGGAATTAAACTGAAGAAAGTTGGGGAAACCACTAAGCCGTTCACATTGACCTAGATCACATCCCTGATGAATATACAGTGGAGGTGAAGAACAGGTTTAAGGGGCTAGATTTGATAGACATAGTGCCTGAAGAACTATGGATGGAGGTTCGTGACATTGTAATCAGCACCATCCCAAAGAAACAGAAATGCAAGAAAGCAAAGTGGCTGTCCATGGGGTCGCTAAGAGTCGGACTCAACTGTGCGACTGAACAACAACAAAAATTCCCATGGATGTGCATAGAATGTGTGGAAAGAGCCATAGAGAATACGGTATTAGAACTGTTCTTTTGCACTCTGTTGACACATTTTCCATATGTTCTGCTCCATTAGCGCTATGGGGTGGAGTGGGGGGAGTAGTTAAAGCTTACTTTCCTAAGCAACGTATTCGCAGACCCAGACATTTTTACAATTAGGCAACTTTTCTCCTTCAAGTAAATTCTGTGTGATGTGCACAAATAAATTGAAATCAGGCAATCTGGATTGTAAAGAAGCTGGGTTGGGAAAGATCAGGAACACCCCTTCATTCCTAGATGAAAAGGAAATTAACAGAAATTGGTAAAATACTGAAAGAATATGGATGGAATAAAGAAACTGTTGATGGGGGAGAAGCAGAACAATTGCTCAAATGAGGGGTGTTGCAAGACATTTATTCATAAACAAGAGTACTGTATGAAGGTTTAGTGAGTGCCTGCATGCATAGGTGCACTGGAAAAAGTTAGAAATGGGCCTAAGCAAAGTTATAGCCTCTTAAGTCTTTTGAAGGGTGTAATTCTGCTTAGGGTAGCATTGCAAGTGTTGACTGCATAAGTAATATGTATAATTTCCAGGTATACATGATAATAATGATTGGCACAATCTGTGGCACAGGTCTCTTATTGGTAGCTCACCAGCTGTTGTAGCATAATTCCTGCATCCCCTAGGAAACCCAGGGAAAATTAAAGATCTGCTATAGGCTTTTAAAAAGATTTCATTTCATAAGATCTTCTGCTGAGCTGATGGCTTCATTGCTGGTGCTGTTCCTAGTCAATGTTTTGTTTCTAGGACAGAGCAAAAACACCAGTGGGACAGGGGGAATAACTCAGGATCATTTTCATTACTCAGAAGTAGATCCTATTTTTAAAAAGGTTGGTTGTCCCATGGCATATGAGATGGTATCATACAAACATGTAAAAGCTTCTGAAAAATTTACACCCTTGTGGCTGGAATATCTTCTAAATCTAAGTTAATACAGTGTGGCTGAATGTATTCATTTGTAAGTAATATACACCCTTGCTTACAAATATATGGCTGTTAAGGACAATTATTCTTGATTTTTTAATTGAGGAAAATGAAAGATTATACCAGCAAGTGAAAGAGCTGCAGATAAATAACAAGAAAAATGAGGGAAACATGTTTAAAGAAAATCAGCGTTTGATGACTGAACTAGCATCCTTAAGGTGAGTTATTTAAATATCTGCTCAAAATCCATCATGATCTTGGGTTAGATCAGAAATAAATAGAAAGATTTTTTGAGGCAGTCTCTAATCTGACTTGGAAATACTCCAGCCAGAGTTAAAAGTCCATTGCTTGAGCATACTTCTCCGAAATCAATCAATCAATTACCTGAGATAGTATAATAATATAACTTGTACACATGATCTGTCACCTGTATGTGACCCATTCAAAACTGGAAAAAAATTGGTTGGGTGGCTAAAAATATGGATTCCAGCTAAGATTATCAAATAAATATTGACATCAGAATGTATATTAGGGACACTGCTCCATTAACCTCAAGGATCTAAGTTTTGAGTTTCTTTGCAAAATATAATTAACAGACTTATATTATTAATATGTTTGAAGTAAATTGTTTTGTTGAATATATTTTATGGAGAGTGAGTAAGAAAATTAATATCAAGCACCTTATTGATTTCACTATATTCAAACTAAGGTTGCTCTTAAAAATGCAGACCATACAAATCTTAGTGAAACTGATTCAGAAACCCTCTTGTGGCTAAAAAGATACAGCATAAGTAAGCCATTCTGGAGCCATTGTATGACCTTCACAAAGAATGTTTTACTAGGCTTAGGGAGAACAAGGACCATGAATATCCGGTTCAGTTATAGGGATAGTAAAGCATATACAAAAATCACCAATTCTGTTTCTTTTTAAATTGAATTAGAGAACAACTGGATAAAAATAATCTTTTATCTCATGGAGTGCAGAATTCTGAACCAACAGGCAATCAGAGCTTCACAGATTTGATTTTGGAACTTCGAGCAGCTAAGGTAAGTGGCTTTGGTAGTTTATTGAAATGTTAACCACTTAAATATTTTTTCATTTTTTTTTTTAATAAAATTTTGATTTCTGATATGTAGTCTTGAATGTTACTAGTGTGGTCTCTTTATTGAATGAAAGCCCTTTGGGGGCAGGAAGAGTTTTTTTTTTTCCTTTGTCCATTGAAAAACATAATAGTCTCAGTACATTAGAAGATACTGCTGTGATCCAGCTAGGGTTGTCAACTTCCTGGGGAAAATGTCCTGTCCCTTGAACAGAATATTAATTTACCAGATGATGACATTTACCTCCATTTCCACACACTTAAAGCCTCTGTTAAAGGGACAGGACATTTTCTCCAGGCCAGCTGGCAATCCTTAGTCCAACATAACTGAGGAACACTATGCCCAATGAAAAATCCCCATGAAGCACATTCATTGTGGGTTGTGAGGCCCATGTACAGGCAGAGCTTGGACTCTGCTTGTTAAGCACAGAAAGTTCAGAATGATAAAGTCCCATAGGTTTCTGGTGCAGGGATGGCAGTCACCCATGTAAAATACATCCAGTGTCACAAACAACAAAATGGGAGTGCAGTACAACTACTGCACTCCTCCCTTGAGCAAGTTCTTCCATGCTCAGTGTTCTTACAGGTCAGGTAGGGACAGAGAGCTGGTTGTCTTCACAGCCCCAGTGATCAATCCCCCAAGTCTAAACTTGTCCACTCACTCCCAAATAGCGTGAAGTCTCTCTTCCCTCCAAGGCCCAGTTACAACAGTCGCATGAGATAAGTAGACAGATAATGACTTGCCCCAAGGCCAGACAACAAACCTCAGAGTTCTTTGAATCTGGGTTTCCTGTACCCTAACTCTACATTGGCTCTTTCTCAGGTATATGTGCAGACACGTAGGTTCTGGATGTAGATAAAGTTTTCTCCCTTCTAGACTATGCTGATCTGTCCACATTGACCCATGCTTCTGTAACCTCTAGACTAGGTTAATACAATGCTTGTTACATGGAGCTTCCTGTGAAGACAACTTGGAAACTGCAGCTAGTACAGAATCTGTTGCCTTTTTTAGGGGCCTTGCTGCTTTGTGTATGGTACAACAATTTTAAGGTTTCTGCTTAAGGATGGCAGTTTTAAACTTTAAAACCTTTCACAACCTGGGACCTACATGTGTGAAGGAGTGTCCTTTCCTGTAACAACATGAACCAATTAAAGTTCTTTCTCTCATTTTCTCTCCCCCACCCTTAGCATGGTCCCTTCTGCCTCTGTTCATCCTTGGGATTTTTCAGTTGCTGCCTCTATTCTGTGGAACAATCTCCTAGAGAGCACTTCAGTGCACCACCATTAATGGTTCTCCCTAAGGCTTGTGAGACCATTCTTTTTCAAAGTTCCTTTCCTAAAGGGCTTATATTTTAAGTCTGATACATACTGACTCTTTCTGATGGGGATTTATTTATTGGTTGTTTCTCTGGAGGGATGTTATTTCTACATTGTAATTTTGTATTACATTGTGTGCCCTTAGTCTCATGTCCATGTTTGGGAGCTGCCTCGGGCTAAATAGAAAAGGTTGGATATAAATATTTTAAATATGAATAAATATATGTCACTGTCATGACTCAGGTGGGGTGTCACCTGACGCTGCCACCACTCTGGATTTAGGTTCCCTTGAGAAAGCCCAGAGCACCCTCCCAAGACCTTCAGACCTCCCTTTTGGCCGAATAACAGGCATAAGGACCAGGCAGAGTGAAACAAGGAAAAGGTTTATTTTATAGGAGGTCAAACAACAAGGTGCAGAATAATAATAGTAAGTGGGTGAAAAGAAAAGAAATCAAATGCCCTAACGCGTCTAAATATATACTGTCCCTAGCTCACTATCTGCAGTGGCACTAGACTACTCACCCTTCCCTCAGGATGAGGGTTTCTCCCCTGCAGCAGCCTTCCTTCTGGCTCTGCCCTCTGTGAAAAAGAACAGCTTCTGCTCTGGCACCAGCCCTTTTGTTCCCCAGCCCTCTTCTTCCCTATTGGTCAATTTTGGCTCCAAAACCTCTCAGGGGCTTCTGGGAGTTGTAGGCCCAGCCTCACCTACTGCTAGCCAGGCTCCATGGGCCTAGTAGGCCTCTGGTGGTAAGGCCCAGATCATGACAGTCACTATGCAGTGGGTGGTGCATACCCTAGTAACACACAGAAATCTGTTACTGTATTCAGGCATATGTGATGTTCAGTTGCTCAGAACAAGTCGTACCCACATGTCTTATGTTTTTGCATCCCTTGGTTCTTTGGGGTGGGAAATGAAGGCAGCAGAGACTAATTTGCTTGAAGAAAGAAAGCGGCTAAAGCAAGACAAACAAGCCCTTGAAGTAGATTTGGAACAAGCAAAGAAAGAGCGAGATTTGGCAAGAGCTCAGATTGCTGCTACTTCAGGTAAAGTCCTACTTTCAAAGAGGCAATTATTTGGTTTGATAATAAGATTGTTCTCCACTTATACTTTCAGTTTTTTTAGTAAAATACAAAATACTAGGGATGGGCACAAGCATAAAAGGGACAGGTCAGTTTGAAGTTCAGGGCGGCCCATGAACCGAACACGAAACCAACCCAAACGGACCCCTCCCGAACCAGTCTGGCAAGTTTGGTTCCCCCTTTCTCGCGACTGCAGCTTGCCACCTTGGAAGGGACTTCCCTTCCATGTTTTTCCCAGCCACGGATTGGTGGAGCCAGGAGAAAGGAGGAATTGCCTGGGAAATGACTTCCTTTCCCCCTTTCTCCTGGCCACAGCAAGCCATGGCCAAGACAAAGGGGATGGGGATCACCAGGGAAGGGTTAAATGGCTGGTAGACATTTAACTATTTGGTTTTGCTCCCTGCTGCTTCAAAGAGGGGGGGGGAAGCAAAACCAAAGGGTTAAATGGATCACAGCCATTTAAATCTAACAGCTGAGCAATGGACCTGCTGAGCTTTTAGGTTTAAATGGCTGCCAGCCATTTAAATCTAACAGCAGACTGGTGGACCCCATGCCGCTCCACTGCTAGGTTTAAAAACTTGACCAAGTTCATGCCGAATTTTGTCTTGTGAGCTGGTTCGTGCCCATCACTCATACCTCACCAGAACAAATAGGTCTAATTACTGTATTCTAAAATGAAGATTTTTTTCCCATAAGAGCTTGGCTGCTGCTTTTGTTCTTATTTTCGTACTTGATAGTTGATTTTTAAACTCTGCTATAATGAATGCTGGGTATAAAGCCTTAAGTTCTGAAAATTAACTTGCCTCAATTGTTAGAAGTAACTGGAGAGGAAAAATGATAGCATGTCCACAACATACCTGTGCTTTATCACAAATACCTGATATTTTACCTCCTAGATGCAAAATCATGTGAGATGAGGATTATGGAAGAATCCTACAAAGAGGAAATTGGACGATTACAGAAAAGGCTTCAGTGGTATGCAGAAAATCAGGAGCTACTGGATAAAGATGCAGCTCGTCTAAGAGGAGCAAAAATAGAAATTGATAAACTGAAACAAGAGGTGACTATAGTATCAAACTTTTATCCATTGCAGTTAAGGGCAGAACAAGTCAAAGGCCAAGAAAGGAATATGACAAAGGCTATTTATAGGCAACTAGAGCAGACTTATTAGTTTCTTGTTCTAGAGAACACCTCCTCAACTTTCTGCATTACATTAACAGTTTCTCTCTATAAATGCAGAGGGTGAGATCACTCTACCTTTGCATCTGTATGGCAAAACCAAAATATATCTGTAGAAAAGACCAAGAGTAGCACCTTAGCAGTGACTCACAAAAGCTCATACCCTGCCACAATTTTTTTTTAGTCTTTAAGCTGCTACTGGTCTCTTGCTCTTTTTTACTGCTACAAACACGGCTACCCATCATGATCAAAATATATCTGGTCTAGGCAATTAAAACTGCAGTCAGTTCACTTCATAAACTCATGACTGCTCAAACTGGCAAGTAAGCGTGACCCAGAAGCTTTCATGGGAATCAGGATATGTTACCTAACTGTTATCACTTAGCTGATTGGTGTGATTAAGGGAGGCTCCAGGGCTGAATGCCTGCCTGCCTGATAGTACTCCAATCTCTAGTTCAAGTCCTGCTCTGGACTTGAGTCCTGACACTCAGCTGTTCAGTTCACATTTTAGACTTTAGTTCTACCTGTTATACAGTAGCCAAAACCAGGATTTGTTCAGACTCAGACCCATAGTTTGACCCTGTTCAGCGGGGGCTGCATCCCTCTAGTTTCATGTTGGATCAAGGGGTGTTCTTTGCATGATCACCATTCATGCTTTAGTTTATTTGAACTCTTTCCGCTGCAGGTGGTGTGTGATTTTTTTTTGACATTGTGAACACAGAAAATGGCACTCCTACATTGGAAAAATACCCTTAATTTGCCATGTTGGGAATTGATTTGCTCCTGCAGTTTAAATAACCAGTTTGTCTAATAGCTTGGTAGGCTTTTTTTTCATACATGCTGTGGTTACTGACTTTATATTTTCTTTCTCCTGTTCTGATAAGGAAATGCCTTTTAATTGCAAAAATACGCCTTGCAGGAGTTCTTGTGTTGTGCTAGTAACAAAATGCATGTATTTCATGCACCTCCCAATCAGTATATGTCTGCATGTATTGCATAGGTTGATCAGCTTAGAATGGAAGCTGGGAATCAGTTGACACAACAGAAGAAAGGACTGAAGGACAGGGCAGCAGATGCCAAAAGAATTCAAGACCTTGAACGACAGGCATGTAAAAAGTCATTCTTCCTCGATGGTTTCAGATTTGCTGTGAAATCCAGTAAGCATCACATTAACAATGCAGTTGTGGTTCTTTGAGGCAATTATGCTGCAAGTTCAACACAAAGGACTGGTTAAATGAGAATGCGGGGGGGGGGCTGCTCATCAGCATACTGAAGATTAACTTTCTCTGGGGAATATTTTCTTTTCATTAGAGCATTGTATCCAAAGGCGGTTGCCCACCTCCAGAAAGGTGAGGAGTATTTGGGTGCTGAGCTCTAATGGGAACTTGAGAACTGGTCTGTAACAATATCTCTGCCAAAAATTTGATATATTTCATTCCTAAATAAACTGTTTTTTATTAAACAAGTACATAAAATATGCCCTTTAGGCTCAAGTTTCTCAATCAGCAGCAAACATCCAAACTGCATTTGAAACTGAAGGGACTTTCCAAAGCAATTTGTGACATGTCTCAGGGGTATCTTTGCCACTGAGAGGGAGAAAAAGTAAAAAATGAATTGGGTATGCCTAAGCCCTCGAGAGTACCTTATGTAGCTCTTCTGATCTCAGCCCCATTTTTTTAGTGGTCATGCTTTTAATTTACCATGATATTTCTGCTAGACACCAAAAAGCTTAAGAGACAAGTGTGAAGCTCCTAAACGAGACTGAATCAGCAGGGTTGATTCTATTCATTTAAGTCTTAATCAAGACCAGAGTTTTCTCTTCCACTTAAAAATGCCCTTTTTGAAATGTTTGATCTTCATTACTTTCAAAGTAGTTTCCTTCAAAACTGTTCAGTAAGGAATTTCTAACCTAATCGAAGTTTGTTGCCATTGCTGATTTTTTAAACTCTTGGTCTGCTTTTTAAAAGGTTAAGGAAATGGAAGGGATTCTGAAAAGAAGACATCCAAATTCTTTGCCAGCTTTGATCTATGCTGCTGCCACAGCGAGTTCTGATGGAGGTGGTGATGCGTCATCAAAAACCAACACCGTTGATTTTCTTGAAAGAAGAATTAAAAAGTTAGAAGCAGAACTTGAGGGTAAAGATGATGATTGTAAGAAAAGTCTCCGAACTATGGAACAGCAGTTTCAAAAAATAAAGGTAACTTGGTTTTTTTCCAGCAAGTTTGCTATGGCTGGGATCCAAAAGCATCCTTATGCTGCAGAAGCCAGGAAGTCTCCCCCCCCCCCCCCAACTAAGAACTTCCAAGTGGTTGCTGATTCTAGAGTAAGACCCCACTCATGGGCGGTCATGTCTCTCCCAGGAGCAGGAGTTCAGGAGTTATTTCAGACTGCTGGCTGGGGGTGAGCCACAATAGTCACGCTCCATGGATAGAAGTCCTTGCCATCTGCAAAAATGCCCCACTGAATCTACCTCATTACACCAGTCCAACTGCATTCACCATCCATAGCACCCAATAGCCTCCAATGTGTATTCATGTGCTTATTACTTCAGAAGAGGCATCCAACCCATTTGTTAGGACTTGGATGGTCATCATATGATGCATTCCTGAGAACACTTTTCTTGGGATTAATTTCCATTGAATTGATCAGAGTAGGATTCTGTTTAGGATTGCTGTAGTAAAAAGGAGAGGCGCATCTCTATGGGTAATGCAAACAGAAGGCTGGTGACAATGTATGGTCTTTCTCAATCAAGGGCAGCTTTTCTTAAATGATTTTTCATGAGTAGAGAAGTCTTTGTCATGCAAGATTTTGTTCATTGTTGTTGTACCCCTTATCAGTCTGTATACAGTGTCTCTGCCTTAGAACAAACTGTCACTGTTCAGATCATTTGCTGTTGGTCAACTTGCCAAAACTGTTCTGTGGACTCCCCATTGCCACTGCATATGCCTCTGCATTTGCAGCAGCGGAAATAAGAGCCACACAACAGATCATCTCCATGTAGAAGCGGTTACTGAGTCCTCCATGTAAATTACCGCTTATTGTGAAACAGAAAGAAAACAGCAGGATGATGGGATCATCCAAGCACCACTTCTGTCCCAAGGATTACTTTAGGAACAGTGTTCAGTGGATTGTATACAAGCTCAGCAAGAAGGTGAAATTCTTTCAGCTTGCAAATGACTATAAAGAGGGGAGACTAGACAGGAAGTTCAAACTGTGAAAATGTTAATGGAAGTACTCAGTAATTGTACAGGGGAAAAGATTCACTCCATTGCCCCCTACCAAGTATTATTGGCTTGAACTGTTTTCTTCAGCACTTGTATGGCTGATATTATTGTAAGTTCTCTTCGTATTAAAAGTAAGCTGCCTTTTCAAAAGCCGTGTTTATTGTCATTAGCCATAATTGGTCAAGGAAAGTCTGAGGTCTGGTTTAATTTACATGTTCAGCTTTTTTTTTATGTGTTCAGTGACACCCCTGCATATTGAGATAAAGAAACAAAACATGGTATGCACATTTTGATACACCATTTTCAAGGTGGACAAGAAAGATGTAAAACATAGTTATTGTGATCTCTCATATATTTTGGCCTATTTAAAACAAAGTTTCAGATAAAAAACTGAGTTCTAAAATACAAAAACAGAGAGAACCAGTCCTTTTGTGTTCAAAACAAGACCTCTTGAAGCATGTGATTAACTAGATGAATACATTTTGGATTGCTTATACTTGGCGAGACATTTATGTGGCATGATGAAAACCTTCACTTTATATTATCTGCCTTTTCAGCATCAGTATGAGAAAAGGGTTAATGAGCTTGAACAGCTACTGGCATATAAGCTGCAGGATGACCCTCAGGAGCTTCAAGACAGAACAGGCAGCTTGGCAGCACTGGAGGAAGAACTTCATAGCGTGAACAAGGCCCACCAGATTACAGTAAAAAACCTTCAAGCAGAAATCGATTCCCTTAGTAATCAGATTGCTCAGATGGAGCTTCAGAAGAAAGTAACAGAGGATGCAGACATACAATCACTGGAGTTCCAGGTGGAGCAGGCTCATGCAAAGGCCAAGTGGGTGAGACTAAACCAAGACCTGGTTGCTAAAAACAGAGAGATACAAGACCTTACAAGAACTGTTGAGAGACTGCAGAAGGAAAGGAGGATTATGCTCTCCCATAAGGATTCAGGTGGCCAAATTGCCAGTAAAGAAAAGCCTTCAGGAAATGTGAAAAAAGTGATTTTTGACTCGAAGGACACTGGAAACGGAGAGTTCTTCCCTGGCACTCTTGATGATAAGATATATCAGCCCAGTGCCTTTGCTGATTCTCATATCTCAGAGGTCCTGCAAGAAAATGCCCAGCTGAAAAATGAGCTGGAAAAAATGACCTTGGAACTAAGCCAACAAAGAGCAAAATCTGAAGCAGGACTAGCAAATTCTGAAAGTGTCATACGGAGGTAATTTGATATATCATCAAACAACTGAAATGCTTTAAACAAAAGTCACCCCTTAGTCCAGGATGCTAATAAGTGGCAAGCAATGGACATGATCTGTAGCCCCATGAGTTTTTTGAAGTGAGTGCAGCAGTTCCCTACGGTCAGGGCTTCTCTGTGTGCAGCAATGTCAGGAGCAGCTGTCCATGCATCTACATAGAGCTCACACTGTCCTTAATATGAATGGGAAATCCTTCCACATGTCCTCTGGTATGCTGGTGGGATGTGAAGAGGGAGCTGCATTTCTCACTGTGTCTTGAAGATTGAGACATACCAACAGCCTTAAACCAAAAACCTGCTAATTCTGAGATCCTAGGCCTAATTTAATTTCCATCCCAACTCTAAATACAGTTACATATGCAAAAAGTTGTGGCGAACTTTGCTGCCAGACTAGGCTCATAGAGAGATGCAATAAAGTAGGGAGGGCCAGCCGGTCTTGGGCCCCTGAATGCAGTGCTCTCTGGGTATGCCAGACCCTGTCCATAAAGGGCTTTAAAGGTCAAAACCAGCACCTTGAAGCGAATCCGGTATGCTATTGGCAGCCAGTGCAATGGTTTCAGCACAGGCTGGATGTGGTCCCACATAGAGAGACCCATCAACAGCCTGGCCGTAGCATTTTGAAGCAGCTGCAGCTTCCAGATTTGGGACAAGGGCAGCCCCATGTAGAGAGCATTACAGTACTCTAATCTCGAGGTGACCATTGTGTGGATCACTGTTGCCAAGGAACATTCAAGGAAGGGAATTCAAGCATTCAAGGAAGGGAACCAATACAAGCTTCCAAGGCATTCTATCACCTCACACTACTTTTCTGATCAAAATTGCACCCCAGCGCTGTGCTACTGTTTGCTCCATGGTGGGAAAGGTGTGTGTAATGTTCCTAACATTCTCATGAGAGACTGAAATTGACCTCTCCTTCAGGATTTGCATCTCTTCCTTCATTTCCATATGGGGGTTAGAGTGGAGTTTGGGTTTTGATCCTACAAACTGTGAGCAGACAGCAGATCTTTCCTGCTTGTCTCCAGATAATTGTTTGGAATTGTAGGAGCCTCAAGGACAAAATGCTACAGGGCACAGTGGTCTGCAATGAAGAGGGCAATTGGGCAACATGACCCCCCACACACACTTCCCTCTTGCGCCAGTGGAGCCTCTTGTGTTAGCAGAGACTACAACAGCAGAAGAGCAAGATGGAATAATGTCATTCAATTCCTATTCCTCAGTGCAGCCTTTCATGCCTTGTGGCATTTTGTTCATGAGGCTTTTGCAAAGCTCTGCATCACCTCTTTTTTTTTTATTATTCAATTTGACCAATGTCAGAATGGGGCAAATGGGAAAGTGCCACAAGCACTACAGACTGTTGTACATCAAGAACTGGCATCAGAAGGAAAATCTGCTCTTGAAGTGACAGAAATAAAACATTTCTGAATTGACAGAAATTAAAATACAGGCAGATGTAAATCATGCAGATTTGGATTGCATGATTTAGTTCTTTGAGGTTTCAGGTAAGTATAAAAGATAATTACCTTTACAGGTCAAAGGAAGACTCAGAAGAATACATTGCAGCCCTTAAAGCATCACATCAGAAAGAGATGGAGAAGATTCTTCGTCAGCACGCTGTGGAACATTCTACTTCCAAAGTAGCTCAGTTAAACAGTAAAATTTCAACGCAGGAGGTAACATATACCAGCTGTCTACCACAGTGCTTCAAAAGACTGTATGGCAACCAGGGCCGGTTCCAGGGTTTGGTGGGCTCTGGGCACAGTGCTCCTGTCCATCCAGCCCTCCCAGCACTCATACACCATCCCCTGCAGCTGAGTGCCATTTACCACTTGCAACCCCTTTCCTTGTTAATACTGGGTAGTATGTGCGGCCAGGAACGTGGGTGGCGGGAGGGCTCACAAGGAAGGGCAAGCAGGGGGATAGCGGCAGCAGTGGGCATCACTGGAAGTCCCAGTCCTCAGCAGCTGCCCCTTCTAAGCGGTTGCCAAATGCTGACATGGGATCTGAGGGCCCCTTTTCCTCCAGTGTTAAACATTTTGCAGAATTAGCTTCATTTTTTTACCTGCATGTCTCGCCTCTAAATTGAATTTAATGCAGTACTAAGTACAGTCTGTGATGGAAGCCAGCTGCCCATGCACATGTGTGAGTTAATAGTCTGCTGCCTGCAAATGAAGATGCAAGTCCAGTAAATAAATACATAACTCCTGCTCCTCCATAGAGATGGGAGTCATCATTACCGTTATAGCGCTACCATTTTAATGCAACTTTTTGTCTTCAGATTTAGTAATATGGAACATCTTTTATGAAGTACTGTAGTACTTCTTAGAAAGATTCAGGAGAGGCTTTCAGGTGAACTGTTCAAACAATGAGTTTAATTGAGAATGATTAAATCTTTCTTTAGGTCTTGATAAAACATCTTCAGCAGCAACTCCATGAGTTGCGGAGAGATCAAGAAGCTCTTAAAGTATCACAGATGCGAGAGGAAATTCTTCAGAAGGAAGTAAGTGGGAAATGCAGAGTATTTCAAAGCAATTTTCGTAATTTAATTCTGAAATGGCACCATTTGTGTTTACGTTTTATTCTCAATGTCATGTGTAGTGCTTTGTAACTCACATCAGGTGAATGCTAGTAATATGCCTGACCAATGCACAAAAGTCCTGTGTTAATTTTGAAAAATGGCTTGAAAAGCAGCTTATTTACTTCTATTTATATCTTGCCCCTTCCCTCACGGAATGCCAGGGGCATGGCGAGGAGGCTCCAGGAGGAAGCCAAACCCATGAGGGCTGTGTCATGTGCCAGCCAATCTTACTATTTATTTATTTAATTTATTTATTTTTCAAACTTTTACCCCGCCTCCCGCCAAGGCGGCTCAGGGTGGCTTACAAATAATTAATACCAGTATACAATTAAAACCAGTTATCACAACTAATACAATACCATACCATAAAACCATAAAACATTACCGTAAATACAACCATTTGAGATTTGGCAGCCATCCGTATAAAGTGCTAGTGCTTATGTGGAACGGCCAGTGTGGCCAGGGCTATTAGAACGCTTGTCGGAACAGCTCGGTCTTCACCGCTCTACGGAATTGTTGAAGATCCCACAGAGCTCGAATTTCAGTTGGGAGCTTGTTCCATAGTGTCAGTGCAGCTAGGGAGAACGCCCTGGTTCTTGTTGCTGTTAACTTAGCATCCCTAGGGCCAGGGGGAACCAGGATCTCAGTGCTCTTGGGGGAACATATGGGGAAAGGTGGTCCCTTAGGTATATATAGAGACAGATTGTCACAGCAAGGTTACAATTAGTGTGGCAGCTAAATCTTGCAAAGATGCATTCTTTATAAGTTGTCTGACAAGGCTTTGGGGGGGAAAAGTCGCACAGAAATGGATTAGGCAAAACTGGGCAACACATACAAAAAATAATTGAGAACTTTGGGGACTGTAACATTTCAGGCTATATGTGGAAGATTGCATGTTGGAATTGTTCCTCATGGCAAAAACTCCCCATCTGCTGGGAGCATGGCTAGACTAGAAGCCTTTGCTTGGTGCACTACTTTTCTGTATGTGGTAGGTTGCGGGGGGGGGGGTAGGAGGTTCTGAGCATGCTGTCCTCCTCCTGCAGTCTGAAATTGTGTAATTGAAGGACCTTTTTACCCTCAGTTTCACCTGTCTGTAGATCACTGATTACTTTGTAACAAATAGTACATGCACAAATAGACACACGCACACACATCCCCCCACTTTTGATATGAACATGCAGGCATGTATTGAAATGCACATGGCTTCACCCTCCATCGTATTTGGACCCAGTTGCTGTGGGTGCCCAATCAACAGTGTTCTGTTTTTATCAGATATTGTGGCACTGAATGTTTTTGGATAATTCAGTGAACCAAAAATGAAGGTAATATTAGGATGTGGGGATCCTGGGCTCTAGAAACCTGATTCTGGTGTCTAAAGATCTCAAGGTGGGACTAATATGACTTCTCAAGTACATATTAATATGCCCATGCATTTATCATTGGCTAGATGTCCTGACCTGGATAGGCCAGGCTAGCCTGATCTCTTCAGATCTCGGAAGCTAAGCAGAGCCAGTCCTGACTAGTATTTGGATGGGAGCCCTCCAAGGAATGCCAGGCTTGTCATGCAGAGGCAGACAATGGCAAACCACCTCTGAATGTCTCTTGCCTTGAAAACCCTACAGGGTCGCTGTAAGTCAGCTGTGACTTGACGGCAAAAGAAAATGTGTACGCAGATACAAACAGACTTGTTTTATACCCTAGAAAATTCCTGACACCTCATTCTGTGCCACTGTCAGGTACTTCACTGACTCAGTATCAATAGCAGGTTCTTAAGCAGATTCAACTTTATTGATCAGAATAAGGTGAAGTCGACACTTTAAGTCAGGAATGACGCATACAAAATTGCAGTAGCAGATATGGTGGGTTCATACATTACCCCCTGACACCCAGAGGCCAATAAGCAATGAATATAAAATGCTGGGAACTGTGTAATGGTTCAAGGGTGAGCGGGAGAGTGGGAGACATTTGCGCCCAAGCAATGAACGCACAAGGCCAGCCGGCCGATAAGGAGCAAAACCGAAACACAGCTGCAGAGCACATTCCAGCAGAAAGGAAAAAACTTCATGGCGGGCCATGGCGACTAGGCAAATTCACAGTGGATAGGTCCATGAATGGCTGAATACAGACTGGCTTTGGATAGCAGTTAAAGGGGCAAAAGCAGGCAGAGGATTTGGCCTTCTTGGCCGCTCTATGAAGCAAGATGCTGAACCAGAAAGACCACTGGTTTGATGTAGCAGGACTATTCTTACGTCCTTCTTATGTCCCACTTTGTTGTTTTCTGCTCCAACAGGAATGTTGGGTTCATTGAGTTTTATTTGGGAAGATAGGGCTGGCACCACCCCTTGTTCAGGTATACTTGCACCTGTTGTCAATGATGTGATTGAGCATGCACAGAAGAGCCTATTACCATTAATAAAATATCTCACATTTTAGATGGGAAAATTGTTAGAAGAACTCAGAGAAGCTAAAGAGAGCCAGCGGCCTGAGATGAAACATTTTGTGTGCCTGGACAGGAAGATCAGACAGTTGGAAGCCAGATATGAACAAAGAGAACAAGAGCTTCAGCAGGTAAATAAAATAATGGTTATCTGAAAAGGTGATTGTTGCTATTGCTTGGCAAGATCCAACCCAGTGAGCTTCAAAATCTGACTTTCTTGGCCCCTTAATTTATCAGTGTTTGTGTGTGTGTGTGACAAAATGGAACAGGTGGGACCAGAGCTGGTGCTAGCTGGAACGTCTGTGGAATTGGCTGTTTCAGAAACTGCAGCAGCCTGGGTTGTCTGAATGGCAGCACTGGTCATGCCGGTGAACTGGTGGAGATCAGAGTACTGATGAGTGGCATTGCCCACACAGCTCCTAGAAGTCTCCCAGAAGACAAGATCTTGTAAAAGCTTCCAGTGGTGAAAGCCATTTGGGTGTCTTAGGCCGCGGTCACATGGAGCAGTAGCCACACTGCATAGACGGAAGATCGGCGGACTTTCCAGGCGTGATCTCACCGCAATATCTGGGGAGCGTAGAGCTCCCGCGGCTGACCCGTGCCTACCCTCCAAGGGCGGGCGCCTGATCGCGTCCCTGCCGGACTCCCGTAGCTTCCGGCGCCCACCGGGTTGTTCCCCCCCCCGTGCCTCAAGAAGCGCCCAACAGCGCATGCGCACAAAGACGCGCAGCGTCGTTGGGGTCGAGGGAGGGCCATGGGGGGCTGCGATAGGGGTGAGCATCAGCAGCCAGCCAGGCGGAGAGCGGGCCGCGTGTCCCTGGGAGGCCGGGTGAGCTACTGGTGGGGAGGGGGGATCTGGCGGGTTACTCCCCCCTCCCCTCCTTGTGAGCGGCCCATGGACCCTGCCCGGAGTGGGCTGTGCACGGCTCTCCCAGAGGCGGCGGCTTGTTCGGTGGAGGTGCGGATACTCGTGTGATCGGCACTTCCGCCCAAACCACGGGACCTCACCGGGACGTCTGATCCCGCAGCCGCGTGGTATTTTGCCCCAGGGCAAATAGCCACGCTTACCCCCCGCATTTTCCGGCCCATGTGGCAGGGGCCTTTGTATAGAATAGTCTTTTAATGTTTTCCAATACCATCAGTAAAGATTTCCTGATCAAATGTTGTTTAAAATAGCTATGTGTATCTGATTTTCCATACTACATAAATGCAGATCATGCCCCTCCTAAGTTAATAATCTAGTGTTTCCTAATGTGATCCATTCTTTCAACCACATCAGTGCTGCTGCTCTATAATATAAAAGTCAGTCTTATAACACAAGTCCAGCTCTTTCTTTAGCATCTTGTAACGCCTTCATTTTTATTCTTGGTTTTTTGCTCTGCCATATAAATTGTGACATCACTTTGTCAAGTTCTTTAAAACACTGTTGATTCTGAAAAACTGGTATTGTTTGAAATAAAAAGATTAATCTTGGGAGGATATTTATCTTTATTGCAGCTATTCTGCCCATCAGGGATAATTGTAGGTTTTTTCCATTTTTCCAAATCTTTTTTAATTTCTATCATAAGTTCCATATAGTTGTCTTTCAACAAAGAGCTACATCTGTTTTAATGTTTATTCCTAGATATTTTACTTTCTTTTGTGATTGAAAGCAAAAAAATATATGTTACTGAGATATGAGGGCTTGTTAGATAATAAAAATGAATTAAAATCAACAGAAAATCTTAAAGAACAAGAGATTAATATAGGTTGGTGGGAAAGGGTACAAATAGAGTTGAGATTTGCTAAAGACAAACCATTAGGTTTTTACACAAATTTAACAGAAATGGATAAGATATTGTTATATACTGAAGATAAATTGATTAAGAAATTGTATATAATTATGTTAGAGGACAAAATGCAAGATGAAATAGTTAAAAACTGTATGGTCAAATGGGCACAAAACCTGGGTCATATTATTGAGTTAGATCAATGGTCATGTGTATGGAAAACAAACGTTAAGATTACTAAAGCAACTTCATATAAGGAAAATATATACAAAATGTTCTGTAGATGGTATATTACCCCAGACAAGCTAGCTAAATTTTATCCTGACCTACCAAATGATTGTTGGAAATGTAAAAATAATGTTGGTTCATTTTTCCATACGTGGTGGACTTGCGATAAAGCTAAAAAATATTGGAGTTGGATACAGGAGATTTTACAAAAATGTTAAAAACGACTGTACCTTATACACCAGAATTGTTTTTATTGAATATATCACCAGAGAAATATAAAAAACAAGATTTTTACCTTACTATACATATTGTAACAGCGGCAAGAATATTATATGGCATATGCTAAATATCGGAGAAGAAGTGAAACTCCTTCAAAGGAAGAAGTTATAAGTAAAATACTGGAAACTGCAGCGATGAATAACCTAACCTTAATATTGAGAGGAAATAACAAATAAGATTTTGAGAACACAAGTTTAAGGTTTTATAAATGAATAGAGGAACATAACATATCAAATTCCTAGACTTTCAGCCGAACTTAAAAGGAATAAGACCTATATATATACCTGTGAGCAAAAGGTGTTCATTAAAATCACAAGGTGTATAAAAGAACCAAATTCTTTAATTACATTATGTGGTCAAATGACAACATGGGGGGAAATGACATAACGAATCTTCCCCAGTTTTCTATGTTTTTATGTTTGTATGTTGTCTGTTTTATATGTATGAAATAAAAAATTAATACAAAAAAAAGAAGACAAGATCTTGGACGTGTGATGAGGTTTGCCCTGCAGGCCACTGGGCATATGCTATCTGTGTTGCCCTATTTGAGCCCTGGGTGGTAGAAACCCAAATGTTCAAGCAGCCCCATAGCTAGGGATTTTGGGGGAAGGGAGCCTTGGAGGGGGCCTCCAGCTAATTAAAAGCTCCAGTGCAAGGGGGGGTAATGCCCAGTGTCTGCAGCTTCCCACACACACACACTAGGGCAGGCTTTCCCTGCAAAGCATCCAGTTCCCTCCCTCCCCAAGGAGCTCCAGTGCCCCTTCCCGTGGTGTGGCATTGGGGCAGCCTGACCTCCACCCTCAACTCCCTCCGGGGCTGGGAGAGGAGAGGTGCATGGCGGCCAGGTTGGCCACAGAGGTGCCATGTGTGGGCTTGGCACGCCGGAGCGCAGCTGGGTGTGCCTGGCCTAGGCCAAGGGGGGTGCCCACCTTGCCTTGCCTTTACCTGCTGCCGGCAGGCAGCATGGCGAGCGTCTGGTAGCAGGCAGCCCGGGATAGAGGCTTCCCCCCCATTCATTCTCGCTGCCTCCCTGGGCTGCTCTGTCAGCCTAGCCTCACCACTGCTGCTGCTTGTGCCACTGCCACCTCTGAAGTCACTACCCTCGTCCTCCTCACCAACAGGCTGACAAGCAATTGGGTTGAGGGGGCCCAGGGGGGGGGAGTTGAGGCTTGGGGAGCAGGGCCCATAAAGACCACTGGGGGCCAGGCCCTGTGGGCCCCGTGGTAGCTATGGGCCTGTGTGCAAGGCTGGACTATAAGATCACCTGGGAAAGGAGGAGGAATTGGGTGAGGGACTGATTTCTCCTCCTCCTAGTCTAAGGACATTTATAGGGCAGTGGGCAGGAACTTGCCATGGGTGAAGAAAGTATTACCCATATAACAAGGTTATAACAAGTAAAGCCTCCTTTACCCATGTAAGAACAACATGCATCACCTAGAGAATAAACTTTGGGATCTTCTGCCTATGTATACCAGGGTCCCAATTTGGGGCAGCCTCCAAAAGAACACAGGAGAAAATGGCTCTTAATTAAGAAAGATCTTTATTCCTTGGAAGATACAGAATGGAAAAATCAAATGGCTAGAATTGCAAAACAGGACAGTACGATAAACAAATGTAAAATCTTAACATAAACCTACCTTCCTATGAGCTACTGTTTATTGGGGGAAATCTGGAAAAGGGGGATTTACTAGGAGTAAGGCAAGCCAGTGATGCTTCAAGGGAATAAAGGGAAAAAAGGAAATATACGCGCTTGATCCTGAAGAGAAGTCAGACAAGATTCCAGTGCTGGAGCAAGTGATGAAAAGCAGGTCTGGGGATGTTCAGTAATTTCAAGAGTCCAACAGGTTGTTGGGTGGCAGGTTAGATCCAAGACCAGCTACCCAAACATGGGGTTGGGAAGGGGATTTTACACCTCTTCAATTGGATTAGCTGAGAAGGAGGCCATTGCATGGGGCAGTGTTTGGCTATGCTATGGAATTTGGGAAATTCCAAGGATTATTGAATGATTGCTGAGAATGTTGTTGAGAATAAAATGTGTTAAAGAAATGTATAATGGGTAAGGTGAGGCAGAAAACTGCATAACTGAGTTATGTGGAGAGTGGGTAGTTTTCTGAAGATCAGGAGACTTGCTTATCATTCTGCACATCTCTGCCATTTCCAGAAACCCCTAGTTTGATATGAGGAGTTTATAATGGGATGGGTGTTGGGAAGGGGGGTGTTTGTCACGTATCAATTGATGGCAGGCCAGTTCTAATGTCATAATCCCTGCAATCCCTCTTCCTTTGAGAGTTCCGTGTACTCTCAACAGATCTACATGTAGCCTGTTAGTTTTTTATTAACTGGATTATGCAAATTAAGATGTTGGATGGGGTACATAGATAGATGACTGTCTCTTAGCTTAGGGTTCAAGTAGAAGTCTTTCTAGTCCATTCCAAACCTGTAATCATATATGTTGGTGTTCTGGTATTACATATATTGTCTGCACAGGACTCATACATAGAAAGAACTAATTGATTACCCTAAAGTTTAATGCTGAATCATTGACTGAGCTACAGGGATCACATCAGCAAGTGAAGTGCAGATATCGTAATGTGTTTTCCTTCTTTTCCTTATTTTCTGAAGTACCAGCCTGTCTCCTGCCATCTTTTTCAAAACATACGAAATGTTCTCTTTTATTCTTGTGTGTGTGTGTGTGTGTTAAGTGCCACTAAATCGCTTCTGATTTATGGTGACCCTATGAATTCATGACCTCCAAAATGTCCTATCATTAGCAGCCTTGCTCAGGTCTTGCAAATTGAGGACTATGGTTTCGTTGATTGAGTCAATCCGTCTCATGTTCAGTCTTCCTCTTTTCT